AACTTCATTTTGGTTTTCTGGGCTCAATATATAGAAATTTAGCTAGTGGTTTTGACTATACCTAATTTCAACGAGGAATAGTTATAAATAATATAGCTAGAGAAAAACGAAGTATGTACGAGATTCAATCTATCTCTCATGAAATAGTTACGTTTCCTTTAAAGTCAAATAGGCAATTCCTTGCATTTAAGATCACCTATTCAACTAAGAAATTTAATTAAAATTTTGATAAAGTAAATTACTTTTATAGAAAACAAAAAACGTTTTAGATGAAACTCACGGGTCACACCATTGGGAGCTTCAATAATTCAATGTAATATCGTGAAAGTCCATGGAAGACTTCAGGTGGAATATCTGGCAATTTGGAATATATGAACTCTTAGTTGAAGCCTGTGCAAACTTCTTGGAAGCAGCATCATTCTCCTCTAAGTTAATCTGAAGGAAATACCGGACCCACCAGGATGAACTCCTCATCTTAGCCTGAAGCAAAACAAATCCGTAAATTCTTTTTCTTTCTTCATGTTTTTTGTATTATGTTGTATATATATATAATACCACCCACACACCTATCATTGCCTCCTTATTATCTATATATGTGTTACACACAATAATAATGAAGCAATGATAATAAAAATATGATTACTCCAGGTAAAATGTACTCACCGTTTTTCCATATTTAGAAACGTCTGCACCCTTAGCCTTTTTATTATCTGGAAAACCTACATTTACACACAAAATCATCAGATGCTAATACGCCAGACAGAGGTTCAAAAGATTATTGATTGCAGCTTAGGATAACCTTTCAACCTATCAGAACCAACACAAGAAAAAGCTTCAAATCTTACTACCATATTAAATTTTCAACCAAAGAATGCCTCAGATTCATTTTAAATCCAGTGAGAGAATTTAAGGGGATGGTTAAAACACATTCTCCCCTCTCAATTCACAAATGTATACTTGACGCCTTGTCAACAACACCCACAAAAGTTTTCCTAATAGCTTACGACTATAGCAATCCTGAAACGTTACCCAACTTTCATTTCCTTCTAGTGATTTTGCGACTATAAAAAACGACATGACTTAATTGCTGAATACCTGACCTCCTTTCAAATGATCTTTTTTTTTTTTATATAGACGGGATTAGGCACTAATTTTGAGTGCACTTACCAGTAAATATCACTATTCCATCAGTTGATACCCTTGCCAAATCCGGAAGAGTTTTGTTAAGGTATCTGGGAGATAAGAAATCAAGGGCATCGGAAATGATTACAAGAGAGAAAGCTTTTGGCCTGTATGGAAGAGGAAACTTGATATCAGCCATACGCACAATGCCTTTGCGAATAAGTGCTTTGCAATTAGCATCAGCATCCTCTATATCATAAGGTTCTATACCCCAGGCTTCAGTTTCCTCCTCTTTTAGCAATTTAGAGACCACATAGCACGTATCAGGGCCAACATGCAAAACTTTGTGTAAGCTATCACCATATGCTTTCTTCAAAATGGGAATTGCTCGTGGGACCTCTCCAGTACACAAAGAGTCACCTGCATTTGAAGATCTGCATGTTATTACAGTACATTTGGAAGTTAAACAAATTCCAAGTAAGTATCTGTATGTTCAAATGATTAAAAACATTTTTCATAGAGATGCAACTAAGTTATGGCTCTTAGTTAAGAGCAACACCACAATTTATTAAACAACTCCAAAAACTGAACTCTTTTTCCAGAAACCTTTATCATGATTTATGGATATTTCCCATACACGTGAAATCAGTGTAGTGAATGTTACTGAACTAGTCTATGAACTGCAGAAGTACCAAAAAACTGGTCTTTCCTCACATAACAGCACCATTAGTTTAAAACCAGGCTCCTTAACAAGATGCAAAACACTGAAGTAACACGGTGAATGGCACAGTAGGAAAAACATATAACGGTCCATTCATTTTGTGCAATATCATTTATCCTATTTACGCAAGTCAGAAGATAGCCATAATGCACGGCCAGTACAAAACCAACTAGATTGTTTTAGTTACAATCAAAAAGATAATAAGGGGTACATAACCAGTGGCAGGATATTGCTTTCCTGAAGCAAGAAAAGATAAAACCAAGTAACTGCACAACGGCTACTTGTGTTTTTGAGCTTACAAAAGGCTAATAAAACAATGACAACAAAAGCCTAATCTCATTAGTTGGCTATATGAATCAAATGACACCATCATTAAACTCTCCTAAAGAGCAAATTCTCAAAAACAATATACATCATATCTGTCTTAACAACATCTTCCAATGTTCTTCCTTCTCACCCTTTTCACAAGAATAAAACTCATTTAATCTATTCTCCTCACTTCACTAGTGACCTTTATAATGCCCTAGTCGAATTTTTCCATCAAGGTAAGTGAGACATGGATTTTTCCTAAACAAAAGAGTTATAAAACTTCTCACAATCAAGAAGTAACCACAAGGAGAATCGCCAATGAAAAAAATAAAATCAAACAAGGCACAATTAATGCAATACCAACAAAATACCACCTTCATATGTATAATGTCTTAAGAAAATAGAAAGTAAAGCAAATACCATTTAAGAGTCAGGGAAGAAAGAGGTACCTTGAAGCCTGCTGAAAGACTCCAAACGGCTGCCAAATCCACCTATAAAAAGCAACAGGGAGGAAAAATAAATAAATGCACGCACGTAAAACAGTAATAAAATCATAGCATCTGAATTTAAGTAAGAAACAATTGGAATTAAACCTGAGCCCTTGTAAACATAGCCAATGAGAAACAAGCCTCCCTACAGAAGTTACCAACATAAAAGTGATCAGAAATCTCCACCATATAATAAAACTGCACAAGTAAGCTCCACGTGTTTATCATAATCTGAATCTATACACTACCAAAATTATGAGCCCAACCGACAAAGCTGGCGAAGTCTTTGATTTCGACGATGAAAACAATCCACCTCCGCTGTCTCCAAATCGCCGAGACAGATTCACAGGTCTCCGCGACATCATTCAATTGTTTATGTTATGACCACGACGATGTTAATGTTATATAGTACTCTGCAAGATTAATCAGCAGGAACATCTCAATAAATGGATCACTGAGTTAAATAACGACACAATATCATATAATTCGCACCATCTAAACATCAAAAGCTAATATGAGTAATTTACTTTAGTTTGAACATTTCGTTTCTCCAACGCATCCAGGACTATAATTCTAAGAACTAGACCGTTGGAAGCAAGGAAAAGAAGCAGATATATCAAAACAAAAATAGAAAAATATTAAAGGTTATTCAGATAATTGATGGACACGGATCCGAACAATGTTCTCTGCTTAGTGCTTACCAGCAAAAACAGCGTTACTGAACCTTCTCTATGAAATTGGTATTAGAGCTTAGATCTGAACTTCGTGCATTCTGTCTGTCCTCCACAACGCGCATGGATTAAGAAAGAAAGAAAAAAAGGACAAAAACAGAGACTGGGTTCGTGGGAATGTAACTAATATTTCCTGTTGCTATGTTTTACCAAGTGTCGGTCGGTTGGTCTGAAAACAATATCCAACGGTATGGGTTCATAATGGGCTTCCTACTGGCCCACTTTCTTTATTATTCAAACCGGCCCAATATAAGAAATGTTTAATTTCCTATGGCTCGGTAATAGTAATAACTAACCGCAATTTTATTACTATTAATTAACAAATAAAAATCTTACCTGAGAGTGTTTGTGAATTGGCAACGACTTCGAATGGGGAGTTGCGAATAAAGCGAAGATAGGAAAAGTGCTGCAAAGGATGTGGTGTGTGTTCATTTAATCGTGGAATCGGTGGTGATAGAAATCGTCGAATGCTATCTGTGTTGCAATGAAGGAGGACCCGGAGAACGATAAAGACAAAGACGCGAGGATTTGGGGAGCTTTACTCTTCGGCTTAATTGGCGCCACCTTCACTACCTTTGCGGTGATTCTTTTTCTTCAATTTGTTTTTCTCAATCGATCTTAGGTTTTGCTCAAGAGGATTACAGATACGGATTTTATTTAATTTAGCTTTCGAATATTAGAATTGCTTTCGAATTTGTAGGTCGGTCCGCTGCGGAGGAGTGTTGATTGGTGCTACGTTCAGGTATGGAAAGTGAATTAAAAATTGTTACGAGCTAAACGCATAGAATTCTGTTAGAGCGATCGTATTTGTAATTGACGGTTTTACTTTTTTGTATGATGTACGAAAATTGTTAGGATATGTTTTTCTTTGTATGTTATTCGAATGATTTGCATGTCTGAAACCTGGACGGCGTTGGTTTTTCTCTTCTTGATTATTATCGTGTATCAATCAGTTAGAGACAAATGAGTCTGTAAACAATTTTGTTAGTCTTTTGACCTGTACATGCATTCGATAGGCGAGACCTTGTATTTATCCCTTTTCTGTCAACTAGTATTATTTCACAGTTTATGGTAAGTATCTTGTAATTTGGTGATTCAATTCTCGGTGAAACTGGCGGTGTAGTGTTTTGAACATGTTAATTCTTGTTGTAGCTAACGAGGACACAGTCACATAAAGGACACAGAAGTGGGTCGTTCCGAACATCATTTCAAGAAGAGGCTTGGAGGAGGCACAATAAGCGACTGCAAGAGGAGTACGAGGAGGAGATGGAAAGAGTGGTGAGTTTTTGTTGCTATGCTCGCTACTTGTATACTTTTGTTCTTATTGTTTTTATATGAACCTTGCATTGCATTTTTCAAATTTGAGATGGAATGGTGTGTTGTGCTATATTTTTTTCAGAAGGCTGAATCACAATATTTTGGAAAAAAAATCATTTTTAATGCTTCATAATGAGCCAGAAAGAAATGCAAAGCTTAGATTGCATGAATGCTTGATTGGATGGTTGTAGGCACCTTAGCTTAAGCCAAAGTAATGTACAACAATAAACCTAAGCTAATGGGATTCAACAAAGGCTGACTGGAGTAATTCTGTAGGGCAAAGAACTCACATTTAATGAGTTTTTGAGGAAAAAATAATCTCATTGTTATAACTATGATCAACAGTCTAAATGGTATAAGGCACTGATAACGTGTTTAAGTCAAAGATGATAAAAAAATACTACATAAATCTTACTGAAATAAAAAAATCCTAATCGAATATGAAATTCTAACATGAGACATAATTGAATCAAATCAAATATTAAAGAGTATTTTCCTGAGAAACATATAACTTATTATTAAAGATCGAGTCCCTATAAATGACATGATAATCCCACTATTACACTTTAATTCTTATAAAATGTTTTTTTAAGTTGTAGCACTTGATGATTGTCCATATGCACTTTTGAAGGAGCGAATAAGGCGTATGCAAAGTGTGTTTAACAGAGAAAGGAACAAGTATAAAAGAAGCTACGAGAGCTGGAGGGAAAACGGTCATGGTGCATATCATCAGCATTACCAGAGAGATGATTGGTACTGGAAGACTGATACATCCTTTAGAGATCGGAGGACCAATTATCGAGAAACTCCAAGAGAGACCGGAAACTATGCATTATCACATCACTACTCAATTTTGGGTCTTGACAGGTACTCACAAAATGTTGAATAACTGGTCAATTTAATATCTGGTTTCGGGATAAATATAACTGGTTTTGCTTGCATCACTTGTGGATGTAATATAGCTATTCGTACTATAGAAATAACAAAAAAGAAACAAGTGAGAATTGATTTGAGGGGAAGAAAATGTCTGATAAGAAGAAATATTATACGGGTCCCTTATAAAATACAACCACAGAATTCAACAAACAGTCTCTCTTTAAGAAACATTTTTGTTAACATCACAATTAAGATTGCAAAAATGATCCTGTGATCTTTGGAGCCAGATACAAGGTGAATTGGTCACTGGATTGTGACTCCGCGAGATAACAGTGAGGATCACAAACTTGTCTGTACAATTGTGTGATGGCCAGCCCTATTTCTAGTGGAATTCCAGGCCAGATTTTGGGACCTGATTTGAAAAATGCACCTTTTCATCCAATTTTCACTCCATTTTGTATATTTCAAAGTTCCTTCCTAGTCACATGACCAGTGCCCTAATTTTCTCGTTCCCCTTCTTTGACTCAAAACCCTAATTGCTCAGTGATTTATAGTTCAAATCTTTTGGCCTTTGTTGTTGGGTGCCTGTGACTTCAGTTTACTTTGTTGTGTACCCTGATGTTGGGTTTGCCCTTCTGAGCAACTTGTGCACACCCCTGTTGCGTGATTTGTCTTTTTTGTGCCTTTCTTTTGTCCTTCTTTTTGTCTCTTTGATCATTGCTCTGCTCTATTTCAAGAGAACATGGTTTGAATCTATCTTCTATGATAAAATTGAGTTTATAACTTATGCCTAATTATGAATTAAATCGGATCTTTAAGCTTTTGAACTTTTAGTTTTAAGTTTAATTCACATGCTGTGATTGGATTTATAGGTTATTTTCTTTATTTATGCTATTTAATGCATATGTACATGTTGCTTAAGTTTATTTTTGCATTGTGGTTAAGATATTCTATCTTTCAACCCCTCCCTATCTTTAAGATATTGATTTTGACAACAATGTTTACCAGCATTTAATTACAAAGCTAAACAAGAATCAAGTTTATGATTTTGACACATACTAACAATTGCAACATGCAAGCAACTTGTGATGCCGCTGGTCATACTGGTAGATCAGGAGGAGCAGGCCCAATTGGATAATTTTCCAGACCTGACAAGAAACCCACAGATGGAGAGTTTACTAAAGGAGGAAGGGACTGTTCCATGTGAAGGAGAGGTTGTTAACTGAATAGTTGCATAGGTAGTTCTGAGAGAGATTTTGGGGTGGTGAATCAGGTATTCTAGAGTAGGAGTTCCGAATCATTCTGCAACAGAGTGAATCTTTTGAGGTGCGTCATGCACTGGGAGAAGGAATGGTGTTTCTATAATGATTCTGCCATTTGACCGTATTCTTCTTATTATTCAACAAAGCCACCTCTGTTATTAATTTCTAATTCCCCAACTAGTTGCAATGTTGTTTCCATATTTTTGCTTTAAATGTAAATGTGCAACTTTGTAAATATTAAAAGATCATGTACAAGTGTGTGAATATTTACATAACAATTTAGCGTGCTTGTTTTAAATTCATGATTAGTCATTGAATTACTGTTTTCATGAACCTCAGGTTTAGAAAAACACCGTATTCAGATGCTGAGATTAAGGTAACTATTCTTTTTTGTCGCAATACCTTGCATATGACTTTTACTGGTTTACTATGATTTTATAGAAAAACGTGCTTGTCTTATTTTACTTTCAGATTCTATGGTATGTAACATGTGACTAGAACATAGAAATCATCTATGATTTGTGCTTATTGCTTCAAAAAATTAAAAACCCTGCCATGACTTCCTTCCAGTTTACCAACAATTGCCCTGCCATGAAACCATAGTATTCTATATTTAGTTACGAAATTGTCATAAGTTAGTCCTCAGTTGATTTCCTATAGCGTGTTTTAATTTTTGCCAAATATGTTGCCATTGTTGGCATTGCCCTGTATTATCTACAGTCTCTTGATATTCTGTCTTCGTTTCATTTATATCCTCTTATCTTTGCAGACAGCATTTAGAACTAAGGCAAAGGAGTATCATCCTGATCAAAACCAGGATAATATTCGTAAGTATTGATTTATCAGAGCATACGATCTTGTTGCCTCAAGCCATAATAATAATATTATTATTATTAAATAACATATCCGTGTGTATGGAAATGTCACAGAGGCTGCTGAGGCGAAGTTCAAGGAAGTGTTGACTTCATACGAGGCCATAAAAAACGAAAGAAGAAACTAGATCTGTTCAACTATCCTGGGACCCGAAAGGATGCGAGGTATTCGAAAAGGATTACTAAAGTTCCTCATTACTTCATTGATATATCATCCGGCTAAAATATAGTTGCTACGTGATTAAATTTTCTGCAATGACTAGAGAATTAGATAATGGTGTTTTTATTTATTTTTTTCAAAATCAAATATAAGGTTATGTATTGAATATTTAGCATTCCAACCACATATAGTGCCCCTGTAATGTGGTCTCATTAGATTCGAGGGGGTTCTGCTAGGCCATTAATTCACTTCATGTACGCAATTGGAGACCTTCAAAGTAACCAAACTGTAAGTGCATTATTATTACTACTATGCATAGCACACGTTCCATGCAGTATCCCTGTCAATCACTGATGCTGCATTTAATGTTTAGTCACATCANAGGTACCTTGAAGCCTGCTGAAAGACTCCAAACGGCTGCCAAATCCACCTATAAAAAGCAACAGGGAGGAAAAATAAATAAATGCACGCACGTAAAACAGTAATAAAATCATAGCATCTGAATTTAAGTAAGAAACAATTGGAATTAAACCTGAGCCCTTGTAAACATAGCCAATGAGAAACAAGCCTCCCTACAGAAGTTACCAACATAAAAGTGATCAGAAATCTCCACCATATAATAAAACTGCACAAGTAAGCTCCACGTGTTTATCATAATCTGAATCTATACACTACCAAAATTATGAGCCCAACCGACAAAGCTGGCGAAGTCTTTGATTTCGACGATGAAAACAATCCACCTCCGCTGTCTCCAAATCGCCGAGACAGATTCACAGGTCTCCGCGACATCATTCAATTGTTTATGTTATGACCACGACGATGTTAATGTTATATAGTACTCTGCAAGATTAATCAGCAGGAACATCTCAATAAATGGATCACTGAGTTAAATAACGACACAATATCATATAATTCGCACCATCTAAACATCAAAAGCTAATATGAGTAATTTACTTTAGTTTGAACATTTCGTTTCTCCAACGCATCCAGGACTATAATTCTAAGAACTAGACCGTTGGAAGCAAGGAAAAGAAGCAGATATATCAAAACAAAAATAGAAAAATATTAAAGGTTATTCAGATAATTGATGGACACGGATCCGAACAATGTTCTCTGCTTAGTGCTTACCAGCAAAAACAGCGTTACTGAACCTTCTCTATGAAATTGGTATTAGAGCTTAGATCTGAACTTCGTGCATTCTGTCTGTCCTCCACAACGCGCATGGATTAAGAAAGAAAGAAAAAAAGGACAAAAACAGAGACTGGGTTCGTGGGAATGTAACTAATATTTCCTGTTGCTATGTTTTACCAAGTGTCGGTCGGTTGGTCTGAAAACAATATCCAACGGTATGGGTTCATAATGGGCTTCCTACTGGCCCACTTTCTTTATTATTCAAACCGGCCCAATATAAGAAATGTTTAATTTCCTATGGCTCGGTAATAGTAATAACTAACCGCAATTTTATTACTATTAATTAACAAATAAAAATCTTACCTGAGAGTGTTTGTGAATTGGCAACGACTTCGAATGGGGAGTTGCGAATAAAGCGAAGATAGGAAAAGTGCTGCAAAGGATGTGGTGTGTGTTCATTTAATCGTGGAATCGGTGGTGATAGAAATCGTCGAATGCTATCTGTGTTGCAATGAAGGAGGACCCGGAGAACGATAAAGACAAAGACGCGAGGATTTGGGGAGCTTTACTCTTCGGCTTAATTGGCGCCACCTTCACTACCTTTGCGGTGATTCTTTTTCTTCAATTTGTTTTTCTCAATCGATCTTAGGTTTTGCTCAAGAGGATTACAGATACGGATTTTATTTAATTTAGCTTTCGAATATTAGAATTGCTTTCGAATTTGTAGGTCGGTCCGCTGCGGAGGAGTGTTGATTGGTGCTATGTTCAGGTATGGAAAGTGAATTAAAAATTGTTACGAGCTAAACGCATAGAATTCTGTTAGAGCGATCGTATTTGTAATTGATGGTTTTACTTTTTTGTATGATGTACGAAAATTGTTAGGATATGTTTTTCTTTGTATGTTATTCGTATGATTTGCATGTCTGAAACCTGGACGGCGTTGGTTTTTCTCTTCTTGATTATTATCGTGTATCAATCAGTTAGAGACAAATGAGTCTGTAATCAATTTTGTTAGTCTTTTGACCTGTACATGCATTCGATAGGCGAGACCTTGTATTTATCCCTTTTCTGTCAACTAGTATTATTTCACAGTTTATGGTAAGTATCTTGTAATTTGGTGATTCAATTCTCGGTGAAACTGGCGGTGTAGTGTTTTGAACATGTTAATTCTTGTTGTAGCTAACGAGGACACAGTCACATAAAGGACACAGAAGTGGGTCGTTCCGAACATCATTTCAAGAAGAGGCTTGGAGGAGGCACAATAAGCGACTGCAAGAGGAGTACGAGGAGGAGATGGAAAGAGTGGTGAGTTTTTGTTGCTATGCTCGCTACTTGTATACTTTTGTTCTTATTGTTTTTATATGAACCTTGCATTGCATTTTTCAAATTTGAGATGGAATGGTGTGTTGTGCTATATTTTTTTCAGAAGGCTGAATCACAATATTTTGGAAAAAAAATCATTTTTAATGCTTCATAATGAGCCAGAAAGAAATGCAAAGCTTAGATTGCATGAATGCTTGATTGGATGGTTGTAGGCACCTTAGCTTAAGCCAAAGTAATGTATAACAATAAACCTAAGCTTATGGGATTCAACAAAGGCTGACTGGAGTAATTCTGTAGGGCAAAGAACTCACATTTAATGAGTTTTTGAGGAAAAAATAATCTCATTGTTATAACTATGATCAACAGTCTAAATGGTATAAGGCACTGATAACGTGTTTAAGTCAAAGATGATAAAAAAATACTACATAAATCTTACTGAAATAAAAAAATCCTAATCGAATATGAAATTCTAACATGAGACATAATTGAATCAAATCAAATATTAAAGAGTATTTTCCTGAGAAACATATAACTTATTATTAAAGATCGAGTCCCTATAAATGACATGATAATCCCACTATTACACTTTAATTCTTATAAAATGTTTTTTTAAGTTGTAGCACTTGATGATTGTCCATATGCACTTTTGAAGGAGCGAATAAGGCGTATGCAAAGTGTGTTTAACAGAGAAAGGAACAAGTATAAAAGAAGCTACGAGAGCTGGAGGGAAAACGGTCATGGTGCATATCATCAGCATTACCAGAGAGATGATTGGTACTGGAAGACTGATACATCCTTTAGAGATCGGAGGACCAATTATCGAGAAACTCCAAGAGAGACCGGAAACTATGCATTATCACATCACTACTCAATTTTGGGTCTTGACAGGTACTCACAAAATGTTGAATAACTGGTCAATTTAATATCTGGTTTCGGGATAAATATAACTGGTTTTGCTTGCATCACTTGTGGATGTAATATAGCTATTCGTACTATAGAAATAACAAAAAAGAAACAAGTGAGAATTGATTTGAGGGGAAGAAAATGTCTGATAAGAAGAAATATTATACGGGTCCCTTATAAAATACAACCACAGAATTCAACAAACAGTCTCTCTTTAAGAAACATTTTTGTTAACATCACAATTAAGATTGCAAAAATGATCCTGTGATCTTTGGAGCCAGATACAAGGTGAATTGGTCACTGGATTGTGACTCCGCGAGATAACAGTGAGGATCACAAACTTGTCTGTACAATTGTGTGATGGCCAGCCCTATTTCTAGTGGAATTCCAGGCCAGATTTTGGGACCTGATTTGAAAAATGCACCTTTTCATCCAATTTTCACTCCTTTTTGTATATTTCAAAGTTCCTTCCTAGTCACATGACCAGTGCCCTAATTTTCTCGTTCCCCTTCTTTGACTCAAAACCCTAATTGCTCAGTGATTTATAGTTCAAATCTTTTGGCCTTTGTTGTTGGGTGCCTGTGACTTCAGTTTACTTTGTTGTGTACCCTGATGTTGGGTTTTCCCTTCTGAGCAACTTGTGCACACCCCTGTTGCGTGATTTGTCTTTTTTGTGCCTTTCTTTTGTCCTTCTTTTTGTCTCTTTGATCATTGCTCTGCTCTATTTCAAGAGAACATGGTTTGAATCTATCTTCTATGATAAAATTGAGTTTATAACTTATGCCTAATTATGAATTAAATCGGATCTTTAAGCTTTTGAACTTTTAGTTTTAAGTTTAATTCACATGCTGTGATTGGATTTATAGGTTATTTTCTTTATTTATGCTATTTAATGCATATGTACATGTTGCTTAAGTTTATTTTTGCATTGTGGTTAAGATATTCTATCTTTCAACCCCTCCCTATCTTTAAGATATTGATTTTGACAACAATGTTTACCAGCATTTAATTACAAAGCTAAACAAGAATCAAGTTTATGATTTTGACACATACTAACAATTGCAACATGCAAGCAACTTGTGATGCCGCTGGTCATACTGGTAGATCAGGAGGAGCAGGCCCAATTGGATAATTTTCCAGACCTGACAAGAAACCCACAGATGGAGAGTTTACTAAAGGAGGAAGGGACTGTTCCATGTGAAGGAGAGGTTGTTAACTGAATAGTTGCATAGGTAGTTCTGAGAGAGATTTTGGGGTGGTGAATCAGGTATTCTAGAGTAGGAGTTCCGAATCATTCTGCAACAGAGTGAATCTTTTGAGGTGCGTCATGCACTGGGAGAAGGAATGGTGTTTCTATAATGATTCTGCCATTTGACCGTATTCTTCTTATTATTCAACAAAGCCACCTCTGTTATTAATTTCTAATTCCCCAACTAGTTGCAATGTTGTTTCCATATTTTTGCTTTAAATGTAAATGTGCAACTTTGTAAATATTAAAAGATCATGTACAAGTTTGTTAATATTTACATAACAATTTAGCGTGCTTGTTTTAAATTCATGATTAGTCATTGAATTACTGTTTTCATGAACCTCAGGTTTAGAAAAACACCGTATTCAGATGCTGAGATTAAGGTAACTATTCTTTTTTGTCGCAATACCTTGCATATGACTTTTACTGGTTTACTATGATTTTATAGAAAAACGTGCTTGTCTTATTTTACTTTCAGATTCTATGGTATGTAACATGTGACTAGAACATAGAAATCATCTATGATTTGTGCTTATTGCTTCAAAAAATTAAAAACCCTGCCATGACTTCCTTCCAGTTTACCAACAATTGCCCTGCCATGAAACCATAGTATTCTATATTTAGTTACGAAATTGTCATAAGTTAGTCCTCAGTTGATTTCCTATAGCGTGTTTTAATTTTTGCCAAATATGTTGCCATTGTTGGCATTGCCCTGTATTATCTACAGTCTCTTGATATTCTGTCTTCGTTTCATTTATATCCTCTTATCTTTGCAGACAGCATTTAGAACTAAGGCAAAGGAGTATCATCCTGATCAAAACCAGGATAATATTCGTAAGTATTGATTTATCAGAGCATACGATCTTGTTGCCTCAAGCCATAATAATAATATTATTATTATTAAATAACATATCCGTGTGTATGGAAATGTCACAGAGGCTGCTGAGGCGAAGTTCAAGGAAGTGTTGACTTCATACGAGGCCATAAAAAACGAAAGAAGAAACTAGATCTGTTCAACTATCCTGGGACCCGAAAGGATGCGAGGTATTCGAAAAGGATTACTAAAGTTCCTCATTACTTCATTGATATATCATCCGGCTAAAATATAGTTGCTACGTGATTAAATTTTCTGCAATGACTAGAGAATTAGATAATGGTGTTTTTATTTATTTTTTTCAAAATCAAATATAAGGTTATGTATTGAATATTTAGCATTCCAACCACATATAGTGCCCCTGTAATGTGGTCTCATTAGATTCGAGGGGGTTCTGCTAGGCCATTAATTCACTTCATGTACGCAATTGGAGACCTTCAAAGTAACCAAACTGTAAGTGCATTATTATTACTACTATGCATAGCACACGTTCCATGCAGTATCCCTGTCAATCACTGATGCTGCATTTAATGTTTAGTCACATCACTAACACTTGGTTTGACGACCCATTCATCATCCTATTTTAACAAGGCCAAGTTTTACCGTTTTGGAATCTTGATTTTAAGTGCTGACTTTGTAGTTTTTTGTAAACTAATTATTTATTAGGCTGATTACCTCGTAGCAACTTAAAAAGTGGTTTGCTAGTTAAAAAACTGATCCCTGTTAGCTTCGTGATTAGAGATTACATTTGGTAATTGCAGAAAAATATCTTAGAATTTTAGCTCCGCATTATGTGCATTGTACTGATGATATTCAATTATGTTTTCCTCCTTTTAACAAATAGAGTGTAACGCTTGTTTAACAGTCTGTCTTGTACAAAGTATTGAATCAGTGGTAGCGTGACTTGATTGAGTAGCAATGTCCTCGCCAAGCCTTGATTGAGCGGCAATGTTTTTGCCAAGTGCCGAACCCAGGGACCCTCGATCCAAATGCTTTTGAAGTTTAAATATTGTCCCATGAAGTGTTGGGCATACTATTTCCTCCATTATTTAAAATGTTTGATAGCGTCCCTTTATATACTTGACACGTGTTGAAATCTTATTTTGGTCATCACTATTATATATATATATATATATATATATATACTTCAAAATCTGCATCAATTATGTACCAGATGAGCTAAATTTGAGGTGATTTGCAAAGTGAATTAGCTAAACAGTGGTTTCTTATTCAGTACCTACTTTTTCTTTAGCTTACATTTTGTCAGGTTGGTCCTTGGGTTTAACAGTATGTTGATCATGCATGTCAGAACTGCAATTGTTACGCTGCTGCAGTTTCAGCTTTTGCAACTTCAGCGAAATTATGTGTGAAGTTTTAAATTATATTGAGGCGCTTTAAAATATAAGTTGTAACTAGTTAACAAATATTAAAAAGATCACCTATTAATTCTAAATCGATTTTATAGAGAACTCACGTTAAATCTGGATTGCTTTCAAATGTCCCAATTGAATACGGTAGATTTCTAAAGAATAAAAATATCGGTAGCTCATATTGATTGATTCGTGAAGACGTCGTTGAATTCGAGTTTAAGTAGCAGGGGGATTTCGGTAATAAGCTGGAACGGTTTTGGGGAAGAACATCTGACGGACTCCTTCTGCCTTAATTATTGGCATGATGATTCCGGATGCACTCTGACAGTAGATAAAATAGGTTTTTGCAGTTAGATTAAAAGGAGTTTTCCGACTAATTTTCCAGATGAAAGAACAAAGAATACACAAATTTTGCTACTTACAGAAATTAATCGAAGTCCAATCCATATCTGTTTAGGTGACCGAAATGGTAGCAGTAATCGGCCGACACCATATATTGCAACAGCAAAGAAATGGAGAACCAGGGTCAAGGGCCGAGGATTTAACCCGAAAGCAGAGAGATTGGTCATTCCGAGAATTGACCTCCAAGACTAAGATAATCGAAGCAGGCTTGGCGCATTTCCTTCCTCGCTGGATCAGGTGATGCGCAAAAAACCTTATAAAGAGTTCCTGCAAGCGTATTTATAGTGGACGCCACAGGCTGCAAATTAAAAGATGAAGATAGTTAGAATAACATATTCGTGATTTTTGTGTGGGAAAAAAAATAGGTGGTTGCCTCAATTCAGTGAATCGATGTAATAAACCACATTACTTTTCGCAAGGTATAAAAGGATTCAAGGTATTTGCAAAGGCTGGATGCTTCATTCAGATCATGCAAAGCCCTAAGAAGATTTCAAAGCACTACTATATCAGATAATGGAACAGTCATGCCACCCCCTGTTAGAGGATGGCGCATGTTGAATGCATCTCCCATCAGTAGGGCTCCGGGAGTAGGATGGGGAGCTGCTAGGATGCTTGATGCTGCCTTTGTCCACTGCAGCTATGAATGCGTCATGAAGTTCATGAGGAACCTGCATTCAATTTTCCCTTATCATTATCCAACACTATGAACTGAGAATGCGAAATAAATTCCTGCTCCCGTTGAATTTGTAGAACCTCTATATATAGGTACCTGTGGAGCGATCATCGTCCTCAAATACTTAGCCATTTCACCATTGGAAATAGACGGAACTTTCTGACCAGGAACATCAACTAGACAGCGGATTTTTGTACTACTTATTGGATAGAACAGAACTGGCGAAGGTTCTCCCAGTATGACATGGCCATGATTTGCACAAGGAAGTTCGCAATTCTCCAAAACTAGGCCTACGAAACAAGAGGGCACATCTACCTATAAACAAAGCATCGTAATCAGGAATACACTAAGCAAACGTTAACATTTAACCGAGAGAAGGTGAAACTCTCGAAATGAATAATATCAAAATGTTAATTCCTGGTATGAAAGGCTGATACTTCTTATATATAGGTACCAAGAGATAAACCAAATTTTATTTAACTCTGGAAACTAAATCATGTGTTTAAGCTTAATAAGTTGTATTATCACCTTAGGATTACAAAGAGAACGACGCAGTTTGAAAAACAGCCATCACAAACAATGGTAAAGGGTGCACAAACTGATAATTCTTGACTATCCTTGGTTTTGTACTGCACGCCTTTAATTACCCCCTTCTCTTCGAGTAGGGAAGTAACTGTTCCTTGCTCCAGTCTTACACTGTTAAATGAAAAAATAATTAAGTGAATAAATAAATATGTATGTACGTGTGTGCGAACAAGAAAGTACCTTCAGTTCAAGTATAGAATGGTAGGTCTATTTTCAATCGTTAAATATAATATTTGAATTATATTAGCTTATAATAGTGACCACTTATAGCTATATAGCTGTCTGGATAATTGGAACATAGGGAGATAACCTGATTGCATACATAACTTCAAACCTAAGTAACATGATTAGAATATCAAGCCAAGTCAGATCAAATGGCATTGATGAGAGAGTTTGAAAAATCAGGTAAAATGATGTGCTACTCAAAAACTAAATCCTGTGTAGTAGGCAGGTGCGGCACCGTAGCAACTCAATTTTTATAAGAAAACCAAGAACTGCAAAGTAAAGGAAGAAACCAAATACTTGAGAAGTGAGACAGCCTTTTTTTCTCATCCTCTGAATAAAACGTCCATTGTGAAAGCTTCTGCCGGCAACATCTGAGTGAAACTTTTCCAACGGATAAGAGAGTCTTATGTGTTTCCCATCCTTGAAAAGAGCATAACCAAACACTTGTTGAGCATCAATTCCACACAATCTGCAGTGATAGGGAATCAGTGGTCATTCTACACTTTGCACAAACCATAGTTAAAATGACCAAACAAATGTGTATTATTTCTAGCACTCGCGATTAGTCACAGTAGGACTATTATATGCCGAATGTCCATAAAGTTCAGTTAGCATTACCTTCAAGTCCTAGCTCAATTAACTTGAGATAACCTTCAGGCTATAGCAACTCTCCAACAATTCTGTCTGGTGCACTCAAATCTCTTTCAATGACAAGTACTTGACGTCCATCCTATGATAATTATGCTATCAAAAGTTAATTGTGAATCTGTTTGAGAAAACAGTACTTAAAAAGGCCCAAAAAAAATTCTGCATTCATACTGATCAAACGCCACAGCGCAAAAATTACTAGAAAAAGGTATTATGTTCATACATTCAGTCTCTCTTCCATTATAGGTTCCTTCTTATCTTCCTCTTCATTTTTTATCAAATTATTTATCGTATTTACCAGCTCTCTCTCTTTGGCATCTTTTTCTTTAATACCAAGCCAAAAAAACCCATGAAAAAGGACACGGAGAAGGATAGAACCAGCTGGACCGCATAACTCCTAGTCCTGAATTACATATTGCTATACCATTTAAAAACTACAATCAACCAATATAAACAACATCACCAAGCATAAATAAAGAATCTCTGTCAATAAAAGTGAAAATTTCTGGCCATACGTTTAAATTGGACGCAGGATAAATNTAGAAAAAGGTATTATGTTCATACATTCAGTCTCTCTTCCATTATAGGTTCCTTCTTATCTTCCTCTTCATTTTTTATCAAATTATTTATCGTATTTACCAGCTCTCTCTCTTTGGCATCTTTTTCTTTAATACCAAGCCAAAAAAACCCATGAAAAAGGACACGGAGAAGGATAGAACCAGCTGGACCGCATAACTCCTAGTCCTGAATTACATATTGCTATACCATTTAAAAACTACAATCAACCAATATAAACAACATCACCAAGCATAAATAAAGAATCTCTGTCAATAAAAGTGAAAATTTCTGGCCATACGTTTAAATTGGACGCAGGATAAATTAATACTAAATAATCCGTTTTTTCTGTCTGTAAATATCTCTAAAATCGAACTGTTTATTCATGGAGGTATTGTAAAATTATGCTGTACCGTGGTCTTAAAGTTAAAAACCAACAAAATCTTCAAAACATGTACCTCACTGCTTGTCCTTGGATATTTTATTTAAAATAAATAGATTAAAAAAAATTAAGTACCTAAAGTCTTGTTCATCCGAAATCAGACTATCACATCTTCAGCTGCTTAGAAGAAAAAACAAAATCGAAGTCGAGAGTGTTCGACTTTCAAAGTCATCAGGTGCAGATCGATCCCCTACCAACGGATTAGCGTAGTGTTTCTTCAACACACGTGTGATCGATAAAATCAGATACTTCAAATCGCCCAAGCAATTAGGAAAGCAATATTCGTAACATTTTTTTTTTCTGAAATCTCACAAGAAAAAAGTACTCTAGAGCAACTTCCTACAATCACTATTCCTTCCTCTAATAATCTCTGTCTCTATAGCGCTATAACTACATGCAAGCGAAGCTTACTCTAATGCGCATCCTTACTGCCAACAACCAATCGAACAATCATTATTAAAGAAACAACAACGCATTTTTCGTCCGGTTTTGGACAAAACACAAGAGTAAGACAAACAAAGAAGAAACGGGTATCGAAATAGAAATACATTAAAGGAGACATCAAATTCAAAATACCTTGCCGAGAGTGTAAGCCAGAGCGGAGCCGGCGACACCAGCTCCAACAATTACGACATCAACTTCGCCGTCGCGCTTCGACGATCTGCATTCTCCGACGACAGTGGTAATGTTTTCGGCGCACATAGCGGCATCGGTCTCCAACTAAGCGCAACATTTCTTCCCCGCGAAAACGAAATCGCGAATCGAAAACGCGCTCAGCGCGACGCATATGATCCATCCAAACACGTAGGTGTCCAACATTTGGAGGAACCTCACAGAGACGACGGGTGCGGTGTTCTCGCTCTAGCTTCTCTCTGTAACTCGCTGGCCGTAACGAGGATTTCGAGAAAAAACTTGTTTGCGTGCGTTACTTAAGAGAAGCGAGAGAAGTTTCAGGAAGGAACGAGACTTTCATACGTAGACAGGGTGGTGGCCATGGCATGGATCCTCTAGCTGTAACTGAAGAAGAAAATTCGAAAAAAACATGTTTTCACATTAATTTGCATCCCTTTGGTATTAGCACGGGACATAGCACACGCAAGTCTTACCACCACTGTTTTTTTTCCTTTTTCTGCTTTTTAAATTTTCAATTTTCTATATAGCATATAAAAAATTAGGATAAATTATCAGTTCACTCAATATATGTGAAGTGTGGTGAATTTAATCTAACCAATTCATTTTCTCTATAAGCTATAATTAAAAATTAATTTTATGATAATTTTTACATTAAATTGTAAAATTTAAAAATTGATTCGTACTTTTATGTGTTACGAGACTCAATCATAGTTTTAATTTTTTTTCTAAAGAAATAATTAATAATGACTGGTATATATTTAATAATCTAGTTTAAACAAAATTACTTAATTTATAAAATTAGTTAAATTGACTTAAAAGTTATTGATTTCATAAAATAATACACACA